CGGGAGGCGCATGGGTGGGAGGGAAGATGGAAGGCCAGGGGAGCGAGACAAGAGGCGCATGGGTGGGGACGGGGCTGGGGAGGGAAGATGGAGCGGCGTGGCTTGGGTGTGGACGGGGCTGGGGAGTGCATGGGTGTGGACGCTTGCGCGGCTGATATGCTAGTTACGAGGACATGGTTGCACCACCAGCATCATTGCAGGCTGCTCCGGGTCAGTGCACAAGTAGAACGAAGCATGGGTGGGGGTAGTGCTGCTCCATGCTTCGCGGAAGCCCGTTGGGAGGTGAGTGGAGCTGTGTTGCACCAGAACCGCGATGCTTGAAGTATCATAGTTGCCACGAAGCCTGGAGGGGGCTGATGCTTCGTTTTGGCCTGCTAATTTGTGTTTGCTTATTTTTTCCTGGGTTGTGCGCTTCTTTTTGCGTTTGGGTCCGCGGGCTCGCCTTTTTTTTGCAGATACTCTGGGAAGCGTTTCACATGTAGCAACAAGAGAGCTTTCTAGTATGTCAGTATGTCTTTGAAGCTTGTTAGTAACAAGAAGCTACTAGGGTGGAGGCCATTACTGCTTTTTTGCACGTCAATACTCTCAGCTTTTTGGGCACGTTACAACTTCTTAGTGTTGCATTCGCAGCATCCTCTAACATGGACTGTCACCATTGCTTGTTCTGGTTGCCAGCTCTAATGACTCTGGGAAGCGGCCGGCTGGCTGGCTATCCGTTTGCAATTTGCCAGTGAATGAAGATCGGAGCATCAAGTGAGCGTCAAAATTTGGGTGTTGTGCCTGATTTGCGGGAGGTATTAGACTTAGACATATTATATGTTTTGCAGCTGAGGGACCTGCAGTCTATGAAGACGGGCTCGCAGTTGGAGGAAGGGAAAGAACACCCTAGCGCAGTGGACTCACAGAGAGTTCCACCTGGAGTGTGCTGGACTTAAATGTAGGGCACATTAGAGCTACAGTGGATGCCGTATGGAAAGATTCTTCGGTTCTGACTGCAGCGACTTGGAGGTCTATGCACGAGAGTTCAGGAACTGAGGAGGAGCTGCCAGCGTCAGATGTTGCAAGCGATGACCTGAGGTTGGCGGATATTGTGGTCCGATGTGGTGTGGGCAATATGTGCCTCATAAGAGACATTTACACTGCTTCTCTAATTGCTGAATGCTCTAGGCAACGAAGACGCATTTTGGGAATGGGTAGAATAAGGCGATTTGGCTATGCAGCAGTTTAAGTAGCTAGTCGCAGCTGGTAGGCAACAGGCTAAGCTATTGGCAGCAAGGACGCAAGAATAGCATGGTTCCCTTTTTGGGAAAGTAACTTTCAGACCTGTTAGTTGGTGTAATAACTAGCAGTTCTAAGAACTCTGCATGCCTCTAAATGTCCATGCAAGCGAATAGCTTTCATTGAAGCGAGGTCCGGACGCACAAGGATGCAGTTTGGCACAGCGACGCCTCAAGGGGCGGGGGGCCTCGGCTTGGGAACCTCGCCAGCCTTGTCGCATACAGATGCCTCACCCATCCAAAACACAACCGAGGTTCTTTAATGGACAATTTTCTCATATTTTCTCACTTTTTGGGAATAGAAGGGGATGTCGGGAGTAGCCAGGACCAAGAAAGGCTCAGAAAGGAATACGACTGAATTGTGTGATTCTTGGATTGAGACTTTTCATGGCAAGTCAATCAGGATGAAGGGAGATGCAGCCGGTGCTATGGGTACAGTGGTTGTCTCGGCTTGGATGTGTGGGAAGTGTACTTGACAACGGTTCACTTGAGACAGAGCCGTGTCATTCTTCACAGGCCTTGGGCTGGTTGGGGTTGATGCCCCAGAGATGACGCTGCTGATTGCAAACGATTTCAACTCTCAGCTGTGCCTTTTTCCAGGCTGTCTGAGCTAGCCTTGGAATATCCCTACGAGGTTGGCACGACCAAATCGTTGTCTTCAAGATGCATGATTTTCTTCAATCAAGATGAAATTAGATTTTTGCGAAGCAGGATCTTGCAAGTGCGACCAATGGATTTCATGCGGACAATCGCCTCGGTGCTGGTGGTGTTGGTGCGGCCGGGGATCATGGGATATCACCACAGCCGAGTGAGGAAAGAACAGACTTCCAGAAGCATCGGCTTGTGAATCTGACTCTCACTCGCCCAAAAAGACAACGCCTATTTTACTGACCCTCGTCACAAATGGAGATTGAGGGTGTGTGTAGCTTAAGCACCACGGACTCACCCTGCTGGTGAGGGGTTCATACCCCTTGACTGCGTGCCTGGGCATGGTAAGATGGGGTGGGGGAATGACGTTCATGGGGCTTGCCACGAAGTGTTTGTGCTTTGAAGATCTGTGAGTCAGGCAGGCATGTTGGTAGGGATATATTTGAGGCTGTTTGCCTATATACTCCAACTACTGCTCCCATTGCGTACATATCTATCCAACAAACCGAACCATAATGTATTCGGGTTGCTTGCTTACAGCACTGTCCATGAATTGCCATGAATCATTCAATCAATTTCGATCATTGCCTCCATACCGGAAAAATCAGAAAATAAAATGTTTCCCTCCAAACTGCGGCAGATGCGCCTCCGTTGCAATGTGCACAGTCCCTGATAACGATAACTGCAAGAAATGTGCCCGCAATTGGCCGTCAAGTTTCTCTGACTTCAATTTTGATTGCTGGGAGTCGTTCAGCCAATCACACTGAGGTCTACAAGGGCAAGTTGCGTGGTGCCACCGAAGTGCGGGTCCTATGTGGTTTGTGGTTGAAAAGAACTGTTCAATTCACCTGGTTTTGAGGTAGCAATCAAGGTGTTGGCTGACATGGGAGGAGACAAGTCCGACGATGAGCCGGCGCAGAAGCACTTTCTATCCAATATGCATTTTTCTTGGTCAGAAATGCAAAGACTTGAGGAGTTGAGGGCTTCGAAGATGAGGCGGGACAGCCTGCGTCGACCACAAAGCTGGCAAGTGAATGATAGAGCTGAAATTTGTTCTACTGCATCAGGTTCGAGTCCTCAGTCGCTTTCGGCATCCTCATTTGGTCACTTTGATGGGCTGCTGGGATGAACGAAAGACAACCATAGTCATCACAGAAGCAGATGTTGATTTGCCAAGGCTTCGGGCAGAGGGAAGGAGAAAAGTGCGCTGCGTCTTCTGAGTGCTCCGAAGCGAGCCGGGAAGTTTCAGCACTCTGCATGCGAGGTATTTGGTGTATGAGCTTATGCCGGGAGGCTTTGCAATTTGTTATTTTTTTCATTCTTTCCCTTTCCTGCGAGCTTCGTTGCAATTTGTCGCAGGTGACGTCGAAGCCAAGCTGAGACAAAGCCGAGCATGGCTGGAGCAGCACAGGTGCAGCGCCTTCACTTGCTCGTTGCTTTGCTTCAATGGTACTGTGGTAAGGCAAAGCGGTGTCCCACAAGGATTGCAGGACCCTTCGGAGGTACTCCTGAGCTCACTTGCCTCATGCCTCAGCTTTTGGATTGTGCAAGGCATGTGGCATGTTGCTTTACAGTACTTCTTGCCAGGCGCCGTTTCCATGGCAGCAGCGTTTGCAAGTTGCTTTGGGTGGGGCCGTCGCAGAAAAGCAAAACACGTGCACAGTCGATGCACAGAGAGAAAGGAGTGAGAGCGGCGTGATAAAAGCCTTGTTGAACAGAATCTGAATCTTGTTGCTACTTTGGAGGCCCAGTCTCGGGCCGTATTAGGCACTTTTAGTGAATTCTTTAAAAACGAGGCTTTTGGGGGGGGACAACTTGGGGTCCCAGAGGGGGGGCCAAGTAGGGTGCCCAGAACAGGCGTCTTTCAATATGGGGGTCCAGAGGGGGG